ATTTTGGGAAATCCACAGGCTGCCACCAGCCAGGATTGGTGTGCACCCTCTGGATCCCAAACTGTCAAACACCCAAAAGTTACTCACTTGCTGACAAGTCCTGGCCGATAGTTCAGATTAACCTTGATTTTAGGGGCGAAGTCACTGCTCTCCTTCTGATAAGGTGTCTCCAAGGGTTGTGGCTGTCCTTTCTTTCCATGTCCCGGCCTTTCTTCCTTTTTACCCGGTGTGGGTTTGTCCTCCTGGACGCTGTCATCTGTTTCTAGCAATCCTACAAACCTGTTCCTCTGAGCTGGGCCTGGCTGCCCATTTGTGAATTTATCCATTGCCAGGAGAGATGGTCCTGCAGATCCCACAAAAGTGTTCCCTGCTGGGGCACTAAACCTGCAAGGGATGGGGAGGATTAACACAATTTCTTCACAAACCCCAAAGGTGTTCAGTGAGACACAAGGGAGGTTCCCAGGTTGCCCATGGGTTCCTCGAGAGGGAGATTTGGTAAAACTCTGCACAGGAGGAGAATTTGAATAAAGGATCAGGGTCTTAAATAGGGTTCCAGCAGAGGAGAAATTCAAAAGCAGCTCATGAAGCACAAGCAACTCGTCTGCAGCACATCTGAACCCCCTGTGTGAGATGACCTCACCTGTTGGCAGCAGCACAGGTTCCTGACATAAAAGGCAAGGAAAGTGGCTCTTTAGGAGTCTGGGATCGTTGCTCTTGTCTCAGTGCAACCAGCACAGGCTGGGCACCAAGTGGCCAAACAGATAAAGGTTCCCTGTGGGCCTGCTTTGAGCAGTGATGAGTGTGCCCACGCTCCCTGCTCGGAAACTTTGGGCTGTTTACACAGAGAAAACACCTGCACAAATTGTGTTCTCCCTGACATTTCAGCCTGGAGTGAAACCAGTGGGATCTCCCCAACACTTGGAGCTGCTGGCTGTCCATGTGAGCACAGAATCAAACACACTCCCCCTGCCCTGTGGACACCCAGAGCCCCGGGAGACTGCACAGAGCACAGATTTGTACTCTGAGAGCATCAGCACCCAGCACAGCTCCCAGCCATTCCCCTGCTCTCATCTAACTCATCCTGAACTCTTCTTTGACTCTGTGGGGACCTCTCCTCACATCTCTCTGGGCACATCAAACCACACCCAAGGCACACTGTCTGAATTCAGCGTGGTTGTGGATTCTCTCAGTTTAGAGGCAGCAATTCAACATCCCCCGTTACCAACCTGCAGCAGAGCTCGTGTCAGGAACTGCTCCTCGCTCCCATGCACTCCCTCCAAATGGTTAACAGGTTTCCTCTGAAGAGAAATCCCCCTTGCTGGGACTAGGGCCAGACTCCATAGCCTGCACCAGAAAAAAGGCAAACGGACACAGCATAAGCGTTTGGGCTCAGGTTGGGGTGAAAAAACGCAGGTTTAGGCAAAAAAAAACAAACCAAAAAAACCAAAACCCCCCCCCAAAAAAACGGCCACAAAGCATCTCTTTGCAGCTGACAGCAAGAAATCCAAGGGCTGATTTTGAGACAAACCATTCAGCCATTCAGTTTAGTCTGTGCTCCAATGACAAACATTCCTCTGCACACACTCTTTAATCCCATCTCAGCCTTACTTCCCACCCCAAAACACTTACTGGTACATTTGCCGAATCCTTTAGAAGGATATTTGTATTTCCTCAACAGTTTGCTTGTGCTTTTCTGTCTTCCTCTCCCCAAAATCATTTCTGAGCTGCAGTTCCCATCTCTCCACAGCGCTCAGGAGAGTTATTTACCGTCAGTGTTGCACAGACAGAGCGTCGGGGTTAAAAGCAAGAGCAAAACCACCCTATAAAAAAGSACCCTCTGATACATCCACCCACTCRGCGCATCCCTGGGCAGCACAGGGAGCACTCCTCGTGTGCCAGCTCAAACTTCCACTCCTCAAGCACTGAGTTTTTCCTCGCTGAGACCTCCCCGAGCCGTTTTGAGCCCTGCTGTCACAAGAGCACAGCACTTACCACAAGCTGCTGCCAGCTCCACCCAAGGACTGATGTGACAGAGGGGAAAYAACCTCCCAGCAGACACCAAAAAGTGCTAATCAGCATGAAGGCAGACCCAAAACGATTCACATCCATGGGTGGGAGTCCTCCCCTCCCTGCTCATTTTAGCACGGTGCTCACTCCCGGTTTGTGGCCGTCCATGAGAGAATCCAAGCTGTCCGTGGGAAGGAACGACCCCAAATTCCCGTCCTTTACTCAACTGTGTGGCTTTTTGCAAAGCGAAGGAGGGCTCGCACAGGAAATGACTGGGGAGATTTTCTCGGTGAAGGGGAGAGCCAATGAGTGCGGTGCTCTTATATGGGAAAGCTGGCTGCCTGCTGCAAATTG